AACGACCCCTGTTACTTCGGGCAGCATTTGATCTACAATGAGGCATGGTACCAACGAAAGGTAAACCTAAAGGAGAACCTATTTACAACATCAGATCAATAACACTATTAATGTAAGTAAATCGGGAAGGCCTTTCATCAGTTGATCCCGATACTCTTCGACACATACTCAACACAACAAACACCGCAACAAATTACTTCTAACTTATAATTAGAGAACGGGGGATCCGTTTCCCTTTCGACACAACCGAATATCAATTACTATCATCAGATATATCCTAATTAAAGGAGTACTCACCGAAACAACTTCCAACCCCACACCATACCCGTATTAAGTACCGGGCATACATCTACGACATTTGTAGTACAACCGGCTATCGTTTAGCTGCCTTCTCTCTCGGGCCCTGCCCCTGATTGTTAATAACTCTTTTACCCATATTAGTATTCCTTTGCTGAGCAGTAGGCGGTAAATGCTTAGCAAACTTGCAATCTTTATATGGGCAGCCTTCTTTAGTAAACCTACATGTACCTTCCCACACCACTTTTGACATAGTTCTCGCTCCAAGTGCATTCGGTTTCCCCAACATTGGGGAAGTGTTCAAACACACCTCTGCAAGAAGTTCAGGCTCTAGATTCTTAGCCAGAAAGGTAGAGAATGCCTGATGATCTTCCATCTTGACCTCACCACGAGCAGGGGAAGATTGCAACCGTCGCATGCATAACAGCATTCGCTGACGATAACGTCGATCAAACACCTGTGCTTTACCAAAACCGTGTTTATTTGATATTGAAGCAATCCTCGCAGCATACTCACAGACATGTATCAAATCACCCTTGCCCTCAAGAACATATATAGTGAAGGCCCACCGCAACATCAATGGAAGCCATTGCTCAAAGGTAGTAGGAGGTTTCCCCGTGGGAAGTTTCGCAGTCTCCACAGCTTGACCATCTGGAGTAAACTGTATAACAGACTTGCTGGCCGCCGCAGTGATCTCCGGATAGGTCTTAAATTCAATAAATGAATATCTATCTCGAGACAAGACCTCCGCAACATGCGGAAAAGGAACCAGTTCATTATTGGGTAAACAACCAAATAACTGTGCCGCTGACACGAGTATCGTATCCACAGAGAACTTCGCCTTCACCACATCCTCTTTTTGAGAAGCAGCGGCAATCAATGCCGCTCTGAGTCTTGCTCTTCTCAGTCTCACAGCGATAACATCAGCCTGAGGCTGTTCGGCTTCGGCATCATCATCCAATACAGCACCCATAGCGACAGCACAAGCATCCACCATTTCTCCCAACAACTCGGCATCATCAACCGCTGCCTTCAACGTTCTCAAAGAGTCAACCGAGAAGGGTGGTTGAGTTAATGTCTCAACTATGGTCCCAGACAGATCTGGAGCAGTTGAAAATGTCGACGCCAACAACGGTGCATCCATATTTTAAAACAAGAGAAAAGGAACCTAAAGACAAAGGATAAACAAAAAAAAACGAGGGCAATTCAAGCATAACGCCACTCAGAGGCGGCTGGAACTCGAAATCGCCATGAAGATGAATCAAACAAAATAAACGAGCAGCAATGCGAAAGAACAAATAACACTTATGATAAACATGTATATGATTAAAATCATCACGATTATTTAGTACGCGAAGCTAGTAGTTTACACAACTCTAGCGTCGCACCACCCGAATCGACCGACTTGACAATGGTACCCTTTATCCACCACACAACACATTTACCCCTAGTTAGGGATCGACCATCCAACCACACATGGGTAACCCATGATGGGTTCCGACAACTGTCGACCGCATACTCGTTCGACACCGAGCAAACTCCCCCAACACGGGGACACATCCATTAGTGCACCAAACAGGTGACTAACCAACCAGTACCGCAACGCAAGGCAACTTCAAATGAACAGTAAAAAGAACATACATGTGCATCACTTACCATACATATTTATGTCGGTCCGACATACATATGTATGGTATGTCCGACATTGTCGGACAAATACCATAATCGGACCCATTCAGTTGGACTGCAATAACAAGGACTTAGAGACGTGATAACACGAGAAGCAACCGACAAAACAATAACAAATTGTACAAGGAACCAGAGAGGAAACAATCGAATGCTCAGATGTTAGCCTCAACAAAAAAAAAATTATCGTTGAGTTTCCAGGAACACCACGAGGAGGTCTCTGAGCTCGTTCCCATCTAACAGTAAATCACAATACATTCGTCCCTGAACTAGCCCCATAAATGGACCTTCATCGATTGGTCCCGCCATTCAGCGGACACTCACAATGATGATTCGTGAATCGATAAACGCCTTGCGTCTATTCTAATGAACGGAGTACCTGATGAGCTAAGTAATAGACTTATATTCGAGAAGATGATGATAGCGTTTTCCTTACTGTACCACTCAAATCTTTGAATCTCTGGAGTTCACATTAGTCCAGATTCGGAACACGAAGGCCGCGAGCTCCGTTCCCACTTACACCGTAGAGTGCACGATACCAAAATTGGTCATGTGGGTGCACTGGCATGTCAGCGGCGTTGCAGCCTGTAGCCTTGTGGCTACAGGCTGACCCCGCTGGCGATAATATCCGGCTCGTGAGGAATTGCCTCGGCTGTGCTCATAAGCGCGCCCGCCATATTGCTGCCTGTGGATACTCGGGAGTCTTCCGCTCCAGACGTTGGGACACTGCCTACATAGACTTTTGTGAGCCTGTCGATAGCTGGAACAAGCTCCAACACTGTCATTAGGCCTGCCAGTGTATTCGCGATGACCGATACGCTCACAGGATAGGTTTAACTTTGTCGTTTGATCTGCTAGCAGTCTGCTAGCAGATCAAAGGATATTTTGTTGAGGGGAAATGAAGGTGGTTTCTGCGAGCCATCAGGCTCGAACGAAGACCGCAATATGAGGTTTAAAATCCACACACTGAAATCTATTACGAGAATTGTATAATTCAAACTTCTCGAGAACATTCAGTAACGATGTGTCACACTATGTCGATGGAGTGTATCACTGCCCATATATTACCACCTCCTCATACATCATTTTCCACATTGCAAACACAATCAGTATGAACGGAACAACACCAATAGAGTTATAGAGCTTGAGCCATGTATCGAACATAGGCCATCCACAACATTTCACGGTGGAGCGTTGGAATCTCCAGTATGAGATAAATGCTCTAGGTAAATAAAGCATGTGGAACCAAAAACACCAGTTGAATACAAAAATATGAAATTCATTACACCAGAGCGTGAGTTCACATATACCATCGAATACGTCGTGCTCATGCATTACTGTATCACTAATAGGCGAAGATGTCAGAACCCAATTAATCTAATCAATCTTCTATCTCCCGTAAAACTGTTTCGACGATAGTTTTGTGCGCGCCATACGCACGCAGCAACATGTGGATGCGAGCATTTCAAGACCACTCTCTGGTCACAGGGTTTCAGTTTCAACCATACTTGAGAGAGTACCTATTATCGTAAAGTTCTATGTATACACGGATAATTAGTCAGCTTCCACAGCTCAAATTAAGCTTTAAATTTAGCTTTTTCACTTGCAGCCCTATTGACTAGGCAGGTCGCACCTGCGCGATTGCGTAAAAGGTTTGGGCCTTGTTGACCAATACCTTGGTCACTTGCTCTCTTACTTGATTCCCTAAACATGCTCGAGCATGGAATGTTCATGGATTCACCTGCTGTGTGAGCCTTTACCCTTATTCTTACCCTCTTGAGCAGTAGTCATGGCACATGGTGCAGAACCCGTGCCTCTTCTCGAGTTCCTCGGCCTCGACTCCGTCCTCGACGAAGCTCTTGCCTACTTGACCTACGCTGACCTGGACGAGCAGTTTCGCGTCATTGGTGCCCCGCCTGCGACCAAAGCGGCGATGCGCAGACTTTTTCAAGTTACCCTTCAACCATGAAGAGGCCCCTTCCTCACCCTCACGTCCCTCACCACCTCCTATCATCACTATTACGCAGCCATCAACCCCAAGCCCCTCATTACAGACGAATTGAGCCTATCCGGCCCCGACCAAGCGCGCGAAATCACTTTCAACAAGTTCCTCGATGTTGTCCGCTGCATCACACTCCCCAACAATACTCCCTATCGCGACTGCACTGACGACCGTAGTATCACCGCCTACGTTAACGATCTCTATCAAGAAGTCATCCAAGCGGAACTATCCGAACGTCAGGCTTGGATCCTTCTACTTCGTGCATTCGCTGAGCCGAGCAAGACTAGTCTTCGTCAAGCTGTTCAACGCGTTTCTGTACAACGAGGCCCCTGGATGAAAGATTATGCTCTCATGGTACGCGAAGGTGCTGCCTGGGCAGAGCATACCTATCGTGAGTCTAACTCCCGACGACAAATTTGACGATTTCCGCCAGTCCTTTGGTGAGTCTGTCCATGCCTTGGCGGGCAGATTAACCCTTCTCAAGTACCAAGCTGACTCTGTTGGCTGCACCATCACAGACTCACAATTACTTCGTGTCTACCGTTGTGCCCTCTACCCCAAGCTCCGTCACTTGGCTTCTAGCACCTACGGTAACTGCGAGACTGTAGACGAGCTCACCCGTCAGCTTTATCGCCACCTACGCCAAAATCCGGACTTTGAGAAAAATACCAGAGGCTCTCGTCCTACCAGCCGCATTGGCAGTTCTATACCTTACGTCTGCTACCGACCCTACTGCTGATACCACTCAGGTGAAGCCTCCTGTCACCTCTGCTGCTCCCAATAACGGTGCGTCTCGTGGACCTCACCGTTCGTCAATTCTGTCTCAGCCATAATGTATGTATGTATTACGTAGCTCATGGTATCTGTCGTCGAGCAAATTGCCCTTATAAGCACGAGAAACCACCATTGGCCGAGTCCTTACCTACATCTCCTCCGACTGTCAAAGTCTGCACTACGACCACTCCTACGTTATCTGCTCACCGTACTCTACGGTGCCCTGCCTTCCAGACGTTGCGGCTCGAAGTCGACACAGGTTGCAGTCATTCTCTCATTACTCACACCGCTGCTCTTCATCTACAACAGCACCTACCTGATGCCACTATCAATCTAATCGATCCGGTCTTCTTCACCACAGCTAGTCATGAACACGGCCTTCAAGCACACTGTGTCCTTGACACCACCCTTACTCTCCTCGATCCTCTGGTACTTCCTACGAAGTCCCTTGGTCCCCATATATCACCCACCTACCACAGCCTTCCGGACGAGTGGACACTCAAGACCACGGTCTTCCAGACCTCTACGACCGACAATTCGTCATTCTTCTATGTATCTCTCAACAAGTGCATCGCTATGCTCAGTCTCTGGACCCCAAACCATGCCGCAAGGTGCATTATAAATGGTTAAAATGTCCTCGTGAAGGACGCCTCGATTGCGACGGTAAGTTACAAGCCTTTCTTGACACTGGCCAACTCATACCGATCGACGAACCCCAAGCCACCCGCTTTGCTACCAATTATTATGGTGTTCGCGGTCGGAAAAGTTGGCGACCCGTACTGCAATTGATATCAACCAATACATTCGTACATACTACTCTGATGAAGGCCGATCCTATCCCGAACCAGCACCACAAAATGAAGACTTGCTTGTCACGGCTCCGTCTTGCTACTACTGTGACCATTCATGATGTCTCCGATGCTTTCATGGAATTTAGGGTCTCACCCGCCCTAGGTTCCTTGTTCCAGATCTATTGTTCCTACTATCAATTCACTCGTATGATCTACGGCAATAGTATAGCACCGTCTTGTCTCGAAGGTGGTATGGCCCACGTCGAGAACGCCTTGCAATCTACTGTACCCCTTCCTTTACTACCCCCTATGATAGGTGATGATGGCCATATTGACCTCTACGTCGATAAACTCCTCGGTTCTACTGCTACTGAACCCGATCAATGCTCATTTATGGACGACATCCTTGACTTTCGTCACGATCACTCTGACTCTGATCCTCTTACTGACAAGTACTTACAGCACGACCTTCCCCTCAAGACCCAACCTATATCCGAAGCATCTGTAGATAATCCAATATCGGTCCTTGGTCTAGAGCTCATCGATGGTGGTGCTTTCTCACGTTATCCCTTCAAGCCTATCGACACCATTCTCAGCTGGAATCTTGCTCAAGCTCTCACTCACAGTGATTCTCTGAGCCTTCTTGGTGTTCTACTACAGGAACCTGACTTCTTCGACTTCCGCATCCTTCCCGCTAAGAATCTACTGGTTGGCCTTATCAGTAAAGCGCGTGCAGTTCTGGACCACTCTTGGAACACTCCTATTCCTTCGGAAGTTCAGGTGCTGATCCTCGCTTGGGTTGCTCATCTCCGTGACCATCTCCCACAAGCCATACCTCGTTGTATTGCTGTTACTGACCCACTCCACCTCTATGTTGATGCCTCCAAGAAGATGGTCGCCTATGAAGCTCGGCAGTTTGATCGCCATGTTCTTCGCGGCCAACTCACTCTCACTAAGTCACAGAGGAATCTTCACATCAATGCTCTTGAGCTTTTGGGTATATACTACACGTTAGCTCGCATTCGCCTTCTGGAGTTTGACACCAAAATGAAGTTCACTGATCTCCGAGTATACTGTGACTCTCTCACTGCTGTTGCTATTGCACGTGATCGCTGAGTACCCTCTGCTCTTCATGAAGCTCTTACTCGTAAGTACTTGGCATTGATTATTGCTGTCACAGGCCTATACTCTACATCCATATTTCTGGTCGAGACAATGTTGCTGATTGTTACACGTTCTCCTTTGGTCGACGACATCCTCAGCGTCCGTGAGACCTACAACTCCATTGACAGTGACAAGAAGCGCTCAAATCCATCTTCAGATCTCACTGCTTGCTCCGTGCGGAAGCATGCTGAAGCATTCAACGATGATACCATAGGTCGTCGAGTTCGTATTCGCCGTTCTACCAATCGCCAACAACCCCAATCACCTGCCACTCCTACGCCTGCCTCAGTTCCTAATCGCACCCAGCTATATGCCCATCTAGCTTATATGCCGAACCCAGTGCTGTTTCTCAAATCCGGCGCAGTGTTTTTTGACTTCATTTTCGACTAAGAGATTTTTGTTGCTTCGTGAGCATAATTGTAGCAGAGCATTTATATGTCGTTCGCCATGTTAATCGATTACAGACACTTAAATTCTACACCATTCCATTGAATCCTCGGTATACCGTAACTTATCGAGCTGTTAGGTGCACCCTAAGGCACCTCAGGCTTGATTGAAATGGTCCTTAATAACGAGCAATACATGATACAGCAATCACGTCCTTCTGCGCTAAGGCTACTAGCCTTAGGCTAGCGCCCTTAATTATCGTCGTCTTTAACTCTTTCATCCTCTGGGCTTGAGACCTTCGGCGAGTCTTCGGATGGCTCGGATGACTCGAATCAGCTCGGCTACTTGAACCTGCGCTGCTGTCGCTCCTTTTTTTCCTTTTTTTTCTTTTTTTTTGACATACACGACATACAGATAAGTGTACAGAGTAATTGCACTAGGCTACCCAAAACGATATATTGGCAATCATAGAAGGCCCCGACGAGCATCAAGATGCTGCATCAGGGCCAAGAAGAGCCGATTAAAGGCCTTACGGCGCTTCAGATCTACGATCATCTTATAAAAATGATAAGGGACACCTCCCTTGACGCGTTTCCTGGCATGCTCTAAGAGCGGACAGGAACGCAGGAGATGTCGTAGGTTCCCTATCGGGGCTCCACAATCGCACTCCGGAGAGTCGACCACTCCACACCTATGAAGGTGCGCAGGAGTGGGAGCCCTACCAAAAACCACGGCACTGCCAGCAGTTCTTTTGTTTTGTTCGGTCACTTGACCATTATGGCAATTCAATCCGGCGGCTTCGAAGAAGACGAATGTTCGCCTCCTATCTTCCCTGACGACGATGACGCTCCGCAAAGAGGCACTGGCTTGCTCTCTGGGACCTATTCCCCCGTTGATATCGACGGTCAGGCGAAAGCACTCCGCAATAAGTCGGCAATTACCAAAGGCGTTCTTAAGGGCGGAGCTACACTAGATGAGCCAGTAACTCTGGGCCGGAAGGGGGAGGGTAAAGATCGTAACGGCTCTATTCGTAAGGCTATCCAAAAATCTGATACAGTGGCCTTTCGCTCCTCTAGCGCTCGTGGAACCCTAGGAAACTCTAAAATTGCTATAACCCCATCTAACATCCTATGGCATTCTATGACGGATGGTGAGTTGGAGTATGATGACGTGTCGGTACACCCGCTCGA